CTGTGGCCTAATGGATAAGGCGTCGGTCTCCTAAACCGAAGATTCAAGGTTCGAGTCCTTGCTGGGTCGGTAGTTTTGCATTTATTTCCTAGTCAAGACTTTTATGAAATTATCTGATAATTTCAACTTTTATGTAAGTACTTTGGAAAATTTGCACAAAATAATGTTCGTTAACATTTTTCCACCCATCTTCGACCATTTCCTTTTTTATCTCATAATTATCAGTTAACTTTGAAACCATTTATTGGCCCTTGACTGTTCAGAACTAAAAATTTTTGGCCCCTAGTTTGCAATTTTTTAAACAAGGTTTTTTTGTTGGAATTTATGGTTAAGTTAGTTGACCTTTTGCCATAAATTGATGTTATTGTCATCGATTGAGTAAGTGTTTCTAAAATAGTGATTTAACACATGAATGGATGAATGAAATGAACATGAACACCGCAAAACCTGTAGAAAATTTGAAAATTTCCAGAAAACTCCATCAAACTTGCTATTTAAGTAGTAGATTACATTGTGATGATCATTTAAATTTGTATTATTAAGGTTTACAAAGGGTATATTTCTACTTAGTTATGGAAATAAAATATGTGCAATATTATCATGCAGAGGTTTATTGGATATCTTTAGCTTCTTTTTAAAGGAATCATTACCCGTTCTCTATAAGTTTTAATGGATCCGGATTTGGAGGCACTCCACCAACCCTTTCCGCATTACATTCATCCACAAAATAACCGAGGCCGTCAGATATGTCAATTACTGAAAAAAAAAACGATTAAGGGCGCATCATTATATGAGAAAGTTTGCTCTAATTTCACTTGTCCATCGTAGCTCTACTTCATCACCAAGTGGTACGGTTGTCACAGCATGTCCATTTCTGATGATTTTCATTTCGATTCGAGTAGATTTCACTTCATCTATTGTTTCCTCCTTAGGAGATGGCGTTTGACTACTAGAAAAAAAACCGATTTCATTAAAGCTTTCAATCTTTTCATAAATCTAAGGTTTTCTTGGATCCACGAGAGGATGAAAAAATGTTGAAATTAAGCTAGAATTTCTAGAAGTTTACCTCTTTTCTTTTTCCAAAAGTTCATTATAGTCGCAGGAGACATTGAATAACCTATCCGTTGAGGTCAATAGCGAAGGTGCATTCATATCATTCTTCTGGACAATGACGGAGAATGACCACGTTGAAGGAGCCTGTACGAATGAATGAATATGTGAATGAATACATGAAGTAGAAAATGAATGAATAGATGAATTATTGAATGAATGAATGAGTGATTCAATGATTGAATGTAAGTATGGGAATGAAAGTGGATAATG